TGCATCAAATGTATGCAGAGTATTTCATCCTGTCCTGGCTCAAGCCATACTGCTTCTCCAGTGGCCTGGAGTGGAAATAGCCCTTTCCCTCCAGCTGTCCTCCACAGCTGTTTTTTTAACAAGTTCACCAATAAAATAGTGAAAATCTGAGTTTTGTGAGTGTGTGTTTTAACACATTCATTGATGAAATAGTGCAGAGATGGACCTGTCTTTGGTATTTGCTTTGTCTCTGCTTTTTTAATCAGATGATTGATTATGTGCCATCAAGTCATTGTCATCTCTTAGTGACCACATTTTCTCCATGATGCTCTGTCCCTAACTTGGTCTTTCAGGTCTCCCAACTTGGTCTTTTAGGTCTCCCAATGGTGCCCCTATCACCACTGTAACTGACTCCATCCACCTGGCTCCTGGTCTTCTCTTTCCTTCCACCTTTCCCAGCATTAAACCTTCTCCAGAGAGCTGCTAGATCTTCACATAATGTATCCAATGTAGGATAATTTGAGCTTGGTCATTTGTGCCTCAAGTGAGAACTCTGGGTTGATTTGCTCAATGATCCAATTGTTTGTTCTCTTGTCTGTTCACAGTATTCTAAGGAGTTTTCTCCAACACCAAAGTTCAAAAGCATCAATACTCTTCCTATCCTGCTTCTTCAGAGTCCAACGTTCACTTCCATAGTATGTCATAAGGAATACCATGGGTTGCCCTATTCTGCTCTTTGTAGATATAGACACATCACAGCATCTGAGCATCTTTTCTAAGGCCTGGTCTTGTCCTGTCTTGTCTTGTCTTCCTATCCAGAATCCACCAGGGTCTGGACAGAATATCAAGCCATCCGTATGGCCAAAGCAACAAAGGGCTTTGAAATCCAGGAAGGTGTTTCTTAAGCCATCTTTTCCATCTGGTTTAAGCAGAGACCAACAGTTGAAGCCCTAAGAGACACTGAACACAAGCTTGGAGGTTATCAGCTCATGAGCCATCATTTTAAGGTTACATTTCTTTCTTGAAAGGGTACAGTTGTCCTATCAGGTGAAGCTGGTAAAAAATGCTATTGGTGGTTATTTCCTGAAACCAAAAAGGGATGTAGATCCAGAAGTATACCCAAACTGCATATCTGGAGAGTGCTGCCCCATTCAGGATAAGGAGTCCCACCATCTTGGAATGGCAACTCCTCACAGTAAACAGAAAGTGACATTACTACACTTATTGCAAGATATGAATACTTATCATTAATCATGATTTACTCTTTTGCTTCAAGAACTTATTACTACAATTAAATTTGTGAAATTGGAGAAGATTTTTGACCCTGGAAGTATACTGTCAGATTCAGTCCAGCATGGCCAAGCAGTGGCACTGTTTCAGTTTCACCGCCGCTAGTCAGTTTCACCGCCTAAGGCATAAGCGGCTGGGAAAGGCAAACAGGCAACTCAAGTCAATTGCCGGCAGGTGGCGGCAGTTAACCCAGGGCAAGGACAAAGGGGAAACAGGTACCTTGTAACACAGCCCACTTCCCCAAATGTCCCAGGCAACGGCAACCACAATACTCAAGGAACTCGGCAATCCACCAACGATCTACAA